AACGCAACACCTGTTGCGTTCAGGAAACCTGGGAGATTTAACATCACAATGATGGCAGGTTATCGAAATATAATTTAAAATGGCCACATTACATTGAATTTGATGCAATATATTAGCAAAAGTACAGGAAAAATAAATAATACTTTTTTTTAAATCATGCAATGAAATTATTTAGGGGGGCTAAAGACATTTTTAGGGAGGCTGAAGCCTCCCTAAAATAGGCCTAATGACGCCCATGCTCCTAATGCATTAGCATAAAATGCTCATGCTAACTGTGGGATGTTTCTAATATCTGGGAACAGTGCTCTGGGAAAGTGTGTGCTGAGGTTGTGATGAAGATACGAAAGCCATGCAGACCTTTGATCGTTTGATTCTTTTTTATTGTATTTCTTCAAGGAAGCTTTGCTGCTGTTGTCAGTAGAAACACTTTGGAGAGAAAAAAACTCAGCCTGCGAGACTTTTCCCCTTGTTAAACATGCCCATCTTCATTTAGCGACATCACCATGGAAACCAAGTGTCGCCATGGAAACCAGGCAAGGGCGGACGAGCGCAGTAGTGGAGCACAACAACTAAACAAAGTAAGCGTGCAGTAGAAAAGCAAGCGCAGGGAATGTTTATTTCCAAACTTTATTTTTGGACTTTTACACTTTAGTCTAATTAATGTCCAATGGAAGCCCGTAAAAAGAAATTTAAATATGATGAAAAAAAAAAAACATTTACATCAGAAGTCTTTAGTTTGACGTTAGTTTGTGCATGTTTCGCTTTTGGAATTTTTGCTTGTTTAATAGTGGTATAAGGCAGAAAAATTGTTACTTAAAATAAAAAAAGAGCAATTAGCACCAAAACTGTTTTTTTAAAACATTTCTTTTTTCTTAAACTTAGCGATGAGCACCTCGTCCCGAAAGAAGCGACTAGTTGTGTGGCGCCTCTGCTTGTGGGAGACGGAACTTAGATGAGGAGGTCGGTGTCCACATCCTCTGCAAAGACACAAAACATTTACGAGCACGTCAATGTTAGCTGTGGTGAATTCACATAGAAAGAGCGGTTGTTGCTGTTCAGTCCTTTCTAGGTCAGTAGCACTTTCTAATTGTCAAAAAAAATTCAGAAGAAGAAAATATTTGTGCCGTCTGTGGACGAGGAACGTTAATGCTGTCAACCAACTTTACATCAAACAAGTGTACAGTATCAACCTTCAATGATATCACAGAATTAGTGCTGTAAGAGTTAATGGATTTATTGATTATCAACTTAATTACAACCCTTTTGATCATCAATTCATTGTTTTGATACCTCATTTAACTTAAAATTTTCCAAATCATTGGGATGTCAGCAATTAAAAATTAGAGTTGTCCCAACCCGATTACATGACTGCAAAACCGGGCCGATCACGTAATTTTCAGCAGATACATATCGAGTGGAACAATCAGCTTTTTTACATTTTCCTAATTTTTAAAGTTCACAAATATTTTCAAATTTACATTTTGGGGTTTTTTTTTTTAGACTATAAAAAGACACCACTTCCGGTTATGAGTATGCCACTTCCGATTCTGTTTTACTTTTACTTTTGATATGTCGCCACTTCCTTCCATGTCACTTCCTATTTTGAGCTAGCCAAAGCTATTGTAGAAACTATGCTTGGAGCTGTGCTACTGTATGTAATGATCTATCTTTTAGTGTGACATTAAAGCATCTACTGTACGATATAACACTCCATCGTTTAGATTGTTGATTTGATTTGTGAGTTATGGGGTTAGTTGTTTCTACACTAATTTAGCAGCCAAGATGCTAACGCAGCAACAGTCGCTCCCCTATGATGTAATCCTTGAGTCGCACAATTCAGGCACGACCAATCAACCCACGTTAGCTTTTTTTTGTTGTTGTTGTTATTAGTATCAGATCGGATTGGATGGGCTTTTTTTGTTGTTGTTGTTATTAGTATCAGATCGGAACACGTCATCGGCAGATAATCAAAGTCAAGTGACATGGACTCAGACTTTTGTGCCCAATTATTTTTTTGGGCGCATTTTGGCTCTTGCTGGTAGATCTTGGTCCCTGTCTCCCACGGAGAGAGAGCAAACACTTTCCTGCAGTCCCAAAATTATCAATTCGTAGAAGGCATTTGCTCAGCGTGCAGATGAGGAATGTCGGGAGGTTGTGGGGTTGGATGTAAGAGGCTACTCACGCTCCTTGATGCCGAAGCAGCCGGCCCACTCCTCCAGGGCGATGTACTTGTCACCGTCAGCGTCGCACTCCTCGAAGAAGCGCGTGGTGCAGTGCTCCATGGGAATGAGGGGGGCGCGCAGGGGCGCCAGCTCGCTGTGCGTCAGGTAGCTGTCAATCAAACAAGCGTAGTACTGTACAGTCAAGCGCTGACGTATCCACGGTCAACAGTTGCACACCCGCTAAAAATGCCCATGTCGTTTTTTTATTAGTTGTGCAAAGATTAATCAATTATTAGTCGATAGCTATTTTGACAACTGATTCGTAGTTTCTTTAACCCTTCATGAAAGCAGATCTCTCTTTTTTTCCTCCCAAAAATACATTTGCAAATACCTGCTGTTTACCTTGGAAAACAATGGTCAACAATTTTGCCAATTTTCTCACATGTTAGAGACCGAACCAGGAACATGAAGTTTCCCTTCATGTTCCGCGATCTACAAACTGAGTTCCTCTCGCTGGTGGGTTTTGGAACATCCCCTTCCTGATAAACCTGTGACCACGGAGGGTCCGGGAGTAGGTGGAGGTGTCTGAGCGCACGTACCCGTCGGCGGGGTGCTGGTCCAGTTGTTTGAACTGCCAGTGCACGGGGAAGATATACATATTGTAGTTCTTGACGAAGTCGTGAGCCAGCAGGTCCAGGGTGTGTTCTCCCGCCTTCAGCCTCTTCTCATTCTCGTAGATCTTCTTCACCTGAAGTGCCCAAAGTCACAAGGTCAACACACAACATCAAAGGTGCCATTTTGTTAACTTCACATTGTTAACGTCATGGCCAGCCATTGACAGTTAATCGATTATCAAATTCATGGACAACTATTTTGAGAATGGGTTCATCGTTTTGAGGCCTTTGAGCAGTCAACATTATCAAAATTCTTTCGTCCTCCTTTTTTGAAATACCCTGCTCAAAAAATGCATTCAGCAGCATGGTTTTGTTTTCATGCTGGTTTCACCAGCAAGACCAAAACAAGACAGCCCAGATTCAAACAGCTGAATCTTCAGTCACTGGGCAACCAGCGCTATGAAATGAGCCACAGTCGCCAGACAGAGCCAGTATGTTGCTCGGAGTTGGTGATAGCTGGTGACCAGCTGGTGTCTTGCTGGTGTCACCAGTTACCAGCAGGGCAACAACTGCACGTTGGTCATGCTGGGTGGCTTTGGCTCAAGTGGTAAAGCAGGTTGCCCACTGACCGAAATTTTGAATCTTGGCTGTTTTGTTTTGCTTTCTCTTCTGCTGCTGCTGTTACGCACCAGCTAGATCAGCATGAAAAAAAAAAAAACAGCAGCATTTCAAATACAGTAGTCTATTGATTCCCAACCAAAACTTTATCCTGGCATTAGCGCCTTTCACACAGTCTATGAAAATCAAAGCCGGCTTTTTCTCACATCTATCTGTGTGAAAGGTAGCGATACACAAAGGCGGGTTATCGGCCTTTTGTCAATTTCCTGGCTTCCGGGGTTATATCCGGGGCATGATATAAGTGGTACAGTAGCTGTGTAAAGGGGAGTCGTGGAAAGTTGGGACTGGAGTGTGAAGTTTAACACCTGATATTCACTTTTCCCGTGTACTGTCGGTGTGAAAGGGGCCAGTGACGCCGACCGTAAAGTTGGTATTCCTGAGGAGCGGACTCACCCTGAGCTTCTGCTTCTCAGTAAGCAGGTTGTTGTCCTCGTCACGCTCGTACAGAGTCACCAGGACGTTCTTCAGCCAGTCCCTCATTCGCAGAGGAAATTGGTTCAGCTCGTTGTCCAAGCAGGGCTCAATTTCTGCACAGTCACAAAGCCGGTGCCATGATTTTAAAATGGGATTGATGTGCTCCAGTGTCTTTGTGCCAGATAAAAGCCCCGCAGCAGAATTCTCAGGAGGGCTCAACTGAGCTCAACTTGAAGTGCATCGCAGCAGTTGAAACAATTTGGCATAAAAGCACAAATTAACAAAGTGATGTCGAGCAGTGTCCAGATTTCCCCACAAATGAACGACATATGACAACTCTTTACTCCCGATTCCCCTGGGTGATTTTCTAATTAGTGTGACTTTTGTAGGGAAAGAAATGCAGGCCCATGATCCAAATCTACGTAATTCCAGAGGAATGTCTGGCTCCTGGCTATGCCTCCGAATCGACTTGTTAGGACTGCGAGCGACAGTGTCCCTGATGCCATTTGCATTCCCAGCTACCCTAACTCTCAAACCTCATCCAGTTTGTTCCCTCTCAGCTTGTGAATACTTCCTTTGGTCCTGAATTTTTTTGCCAATCTGTAAATCACACGTTTGGATGGATTGAAATTGACCTGAACTGAAATAAAAATGCTCCCAAACACAAAAAGTCATTTTGGGTCACCCTATATCATCACCCATCTGTCTTAGATACTTTCTTCCAATTGGGACTCATTAAGACCAAATTTCAAGTAGGAGTTTGTTAAAAGACATGCCCTAGAATTTGCCCAAAATAGCTGCTTTGGACAAAAATGTCTGATTGTCAGTTTTGTGCTTGGGTCTTTGAGATTTTTTCAAGTGGCTGCAACTGAAAGACGTGTCTCCACAGTTTTGTGTTGATCGGTCAAAAAGGTATTAGTGGCATATGTGGAAGGGGGTGCTTCTGAGTGAGTTTTGGAAGGACTTGTTTTTGGGATCTATAAACGTGCTCGCAGGAATTGGTGATTTGTTTGTCTTTCATCAAATCGACAAACAAACAAAAAATGCAACGCACCGTCCAGTTCTTGGATCCTAATCATGTTCCTGATAAAAGCTTGTGATGCTAATATTGACATGCTAGCAGACTAGCATGTCATTTTCTAGACTGGTAGGAAGCATCTCCTTATCAATGCCGTCAGCCTGTTCTCCACTTGAACCTCGCACTCCCGTACTCCAGCCCGGTTTTGAGTGTGTACACAAACGTGTTTGGGCACGTCTCAGCCGACAGCGCTGCAGCTGCTGCCGCTCCCGCTTGGGATTATTTTCACACTTGGCAGTACACTGCAACCTTGACTTACAAGTTGAGTTCCGAGACGAAGATGTTGATGCAAATTACTCGGATACAATAAATATCATTAATTCGTTACAGTCCCTAAAATATCACTACTATCTTTTTAAATAACAGGATGTCTGCCTTTAAGGTGTGTAGCTGAGTGAGTGACATCAGAAGCTGAAGTGAGTCAGAGTGGCTTCATGCTCCTTGCAAGTGTTGTCATTTCGTATTTGTCTTCCATTTTTGTCATAGTTCGTAAAGATCTTATGTAGCATTTATTTATCCTAGTAAGGCAATTGAGAACCGTTTCTCATTTGCAAATGTTTTCCTCGGATAATTTGTTGAAAGTCACGTGACCTTGATTCAAATGGCTCAATATTTGCGGGGTTCAGGTTCACCTTTGCATGGCCCGATGTAGTCCAGGTGCAGTTTGTGACCCTTCTTGGTTCCCTCCAAGGCGCACTTGGCGGCAAAGAAGTGGCAGGAAGTGTCGTATGTCTTGTTGTCTGTGCCGCAAACCTGAACACAACAAGAGAACAGTGAGATGCAATGATTTGTGTCTTTTAAATTATTTTCTTCATTTACTTTTGGTTCCTTGTTTTGTTGAACAGTGCGACGTTCAGTAGTCAGCTTGGACCTTTTGTGTATTCAAACTGCGGTAACTAAACCAATTCGGTTCCAAGGCCTAAAAAAACCCCGCTGGTGATAAACATTTGTTACGCTCTGTACGGTGCAATACAGGTTTTTGAGATGCAATTCACTTTGCATTGACGTTGCATGTGTGCATGCCGGTAGCGCCTTCACCGACTCACAGGTCTAACTGTATCCAGCTTCAAAGTGCAACCACGAGCATGCGCAGAGTATTTGAAAGACGGAAATTTGAAGAACGTACGTGCTCAAACTGTCCCTCGGCGGGGGTGCAGGTGGAGGGGTCCTGACACACGCAGATGGGGGTGTTGCTGTCGTCCACTTCACACACTTTGCCCTTCTTGCACTCGTGCTGCAGGCATGGGTCTGGACAGAAACACATCATCATCATCAGGGGTGAAAAGGGAACATTTTAGACAAAAAATACAAATTTACAAAATTATTACATCAGAATAAAAAAAATTTTAAAAAAATTTATATATAAAAATGTTAGTCTTAAAATACACAAATATTGGAAACAGAAAAAGAAACAGAAAATTACTGACAGCTAAAACAACTGAGAAAAATAGACTAATAAGTTCCATCCATACATCCATTTTCTGATCCACTTATCCTCACAAGGCGTGCTGCAGCCTATCCCAACAGCTTCGGGCAATAGGCGGGGTACACCAAGATTAATTTACAGTGTTCTATTAACCTGCCACTCATGTTTTTGGAATGTGGGAGGAAACCGGAGTACCCGGAGAAAACCCACAAAGGCACGGGGGAAAACATGCAAACTCCACACAGGAAGGAGCTGGAGCCGGAATCGGACCCTTCACCTCTGCACTATGAGGCCGACGCGCTAACTAGTCGACCACTGGTCCACAGACTAATAAGTTAAATTACCTTAATGTTACTTTAAAAAAAAAAAATACCGGTAAATAAAAACTGACAATACAGTTGAATGACAGGCGATGGTGGGTGTTCCGACATGGGCGGTTTCAAGGTTAGCAACATACATAGTGAATGAGTTTACTGGCTGGTTCAAGAAAACGGGCTCACAAGAAGGCACACTCACCTACTACCCGACTCGCAATTTTTTAAAATTCTTTTGGGTTTATGACCTACAAGTTTTACTTTACGACTGTGTTAGCCTAGCTTAGCGATTTCACCATCGCAACGGAACTCCGTCGTAAACTGTGGGACTCCCTCTATATTTCTGGACAGTTTGTTTTTGGGGAGAGCAAATATTTATAGCTAACATTTAGATTTTTTATTTTTTATTTTTTTTTAATCCCATGTCGGTGTGCGTGTTTGTATTTCTTGTGGCAGTGTGCCTGCTTCACTACCACACTGCGCAATTTACAACTGTTGTCCTAATTATACACCATTCCGGTCCCAAACATGCCATTTAGCTCGTGGTTTTGGTTTTTGAATCTGGAGTCCAGACGAGCGTGTAGCCGGTGAAACACCCGCGGCGAACCGTGGACGTGTGTGCGGTGTGACGTGCGCGTGCGCCCGCTCACTCTCGGCAACGTCGTCTTCCAGCTCGATGGCCTCGTCAAACTCGCCGATCTCCACCTGAACCGGGTTGGCGCCAACCTCCGTCTCCTGGGAAGCAGCAAAGGTCAAAAGGTCAGACTGGAAGCTGATTAAGCGGCGGCAGGAATGCGTGAGCCCACTTGGAGGAAATGGAAAACAATCGCCGCTTTTTAGAATCATTTGCTCTTTTTTTCAGATCCTTGGAACCTGTTGGTTTTAGGATGGTTCTAGTTCTTATAAAGACTTTTCCATTATTAATCAACAAATTGATGACCCATTTATTTGAGAAACTGTTTAGAAAATACTACTCAGGGGCTGTTAATGATCTAATTGCTGTGGCCAATAAACGTCAGCAGGAGTTTGCTGTTTTTGCGCTCAGGCCATAGCCGCGTCTAATTATAAAAAGTATTGCTTAGGCATAATCTCAGGTCTCGGTACCTCGGAACTATGTTGAAGTGAGGGCAGGAGATTCATTCAGCACCTGTGGTGTCAATCATACAGCCCGTGTGCGCAATGAAGGGGTTCGATCCGGCGGTCCCAAAATGAATTTGAAGTGGGGGAAAAATACTCTAGCCATCCTGCAGTCAATTTAGATTTTGCGAATGCTGAGAAAACAAAATGCAAATAATTCATGAATTAATTTCATTTTAAAACTGGAAGACTGTCGTATATTTTTCAGTTCCAAACACCTATGACTTAGTTTTGTGCCTTTGGTTGCAATTACTCTTTGTTTCATGTGAATAGCAGACAGACAGACAGCTATACTGTACACGGACACCTGTACGGTATAGATATCTCAGATCGTCTCAGCTCTTCGCAGAGGATAAAGAATAAATGACAGCGGGGTCCTGGTATAGTGAATGTCTAAATGTGTTGCTGCACCATTTGCTTCAAGGGTTATGTGTCCCCGCGAACCTTGTGAGGATAGGCCGAACAGAAAATGGACGGATGGATGGTTATGTGTTTCCTATTATTTGTTAAGGTTAGCAGTAAACGAGTGGGCTGAAGTCTAAGCGATGTGTTTGTTGTAAAAACACAACCTGTAATTCTCTATTTCATATAAACTCGCGGAAATGGAGTGATTCCCAACACCGCCAAAAATTTATTTGTGACCAACGAGGCTTTGAAGTGGGACTGGCCCCATTCCAGAAGGTTCCGCCCTGAAGGAACCGGCTCGTGAGCGGCGGGACCCAAATGGCTGACGGTAACGAGCAGCTGCATCTCCCATGCGGTGAAGCTGGGAAGACGTCAGCGCTTCCTGAGAGGTTGTATGAGGCTGCTTTTTCCAGCTGTGGCGTCTGTGGTCCTTCGGGAGCACAGTAGTAGCCAACGTTCACACGCTAAAGTTTCTTCCCCCACCCCTCCTTCGAAAACAACAAAGCGCTTCCAGAACATTCTGTCTTGGCATTTGATTTCCTGCTGAATGACTTCCAAGATGTAAGCGTCCTGTTTGTTCACATAAAGTGCTCCAAAACGGAAATTTGGGATTTGAAAACGATGAAGATGATGATGCGGATGATCGGGACTGAAAGGAAACATGGTGACATCATCAGGACCAGCTGGAGAATCAATGCTGCGGTTTGTCACGCAACCGTCTCCTAGCTGGTCATCCACTGTCCCACCTGGTCATTTTTCTTCCCATAGACAAAAACAAGCAGCACCGTTTGGGTTTTTGTCTTCTTCTGTCTGGATGTGATCATCTAACTGGAACATTTGCGGTTTTAAGAAAGGAAAATGGCAGCATTTGAACCAACTGGAGTCATGTTTTGAGTATCAAAGTTCCATCTCGCCCACTGGTTTCCTTTCAATATTGAGAATGTTCTTGGTCACTCCAGCAGATGATCTTTTTTGAATTCCAGGGTCAGGCAATTCTAAACATTTACTCAGACTGAGTGAGATCACATTCGACCTCAAAAGTCGGTGATATGTGATCCTGATCCTTGTAAAAATTTAGTCATCCGATCCTCGCCAAAATTTCAGTCAAATGCTCTTTCTTCCTGGGCAAATGGAAATTACGATTAGGCTTCTCCATTAGCCATTTAACAGACACATTTTTCCAAGGTACCTTGAATAGCTCTGACAGCAAATCGCACAAGCATATTTAGTATAATTGAAGTAAATAATGTCATCATCTTGCGCTGGAGTCAATTTAACCCTTTAAAGTTAGGACGGAATAAAATTGAACGGGCGAAGTGGAAAAAAATAAAACTGGGATGAAACGATGAATCTTTCCAAAGACCTCAAATCTGTCTTCTCTGGATCACATTAATCCTATCTGGAAAAACCAGAGTGACACTTACAAGATCAATGTGATCTGGAATATCAGAAAAAGGGATTATGAAATTTGGATCAATTTGATCCAGATTACTTTTTTAGGCAAGTCTTTCTTTGAGCCAAAAAACAAGCAGGAACATCTTGATTTTTGTTTGAAGTCGAAGTTGACAAACCGCAAAGACTGCGGAGGAACTTTTCAGGGGTCTGACTGCTCGTGACTCACCTCAACAACCGAATCCTCCGCCGCGGGCTCGTCCACCACCAACTCCTCGTCCGCCACCAGCTCCTCGTCCATCGGCTGCTCCTCGACCGGCACCAGCGCCTCGTCCATCGGCTGCTCCTCAGTCTGACAAACCAGAGTAAAAGCGCTTGAATTCAACGGGCAGTGCAGACGGTGCACAAGTGCGGTCTTCGAGAGCCCCTATCCTCCTTGTTTTGGATGTCTCCCTCCTCCAAGACACATTCAAATGTTCAGGATCATCGTCAAACTCCTGCAAAGTTTCGTAATGAGCTGATCTTTTCAATCAGGTATGTTGGAGGAGGGAAACATCGGAAACAGGCTGGGTATGGGTTCTCGAGGACTGGATTTGGGCACCCAAGTCTTAAGGCCAGAAGACTTTCTGTTTTTTCTGGTCTTTCTGAAGAAATTGAAGACTTTACAGTGATTGGTTTTCAGAGAGAGAAAGCGGACTTACAGGAGCGGCCATGGCGTGTCCAGCCAGGCAAACCAGGAAGATGATCCACACCCTCATCTTCAGTGTCTGTGGACACAAAAATCAAAATGATATATATATTTTTTAAATAATTTGGATTAAAACACAAATGCTTAAAAACAAAAAGTGAGAATGAGCAAGGCCTCTCAGGGGTTCCCTGAGGAACTCCTTGTTGACTACTGTATGGATTTTTATGTCACAGTTCATATAATTTTGTTTCACATCTGCTACATGGACTGCAGAAGGAAATTGCAAAGTTATATTTACAAAGTTACAAAGCTGCAATCTGTCACGGAGGTTTTCTACTCTTATTTAATATTTTATGAATATTGTTCCTGTCAAATGAACAACTACACTAAAGAATATGTGCATTTTGCAAACATTGAGAAGGTCCCCCGAGGACTTCATGAAGTGTTTCGGAACGTTTTGCCCTTTCTGCGGCAAACCAAAATGATTGAGACGTCAACATGATTGCACGTTTTGTTTTACAGATGTTGAACAAGCGAGCGCTCTGTCTTGTCCGTCTGAGGCCGTGTGAGCTTTCATTGTTGGGGAATGCCGTCTGCCTCCATCTCCCATCAAATGAAGGATTCCATCAAAGCTCTTTTGTTTGGGTTTGCGTTTCTATCATGCAGACATCAGGAATGTACGAGGAACGCTTGCAGGCTGCTCAGTACCGGCGTCAAAGCACAAAAAAACTCCCGCTGCTCTCTTGGCCTCCTTTCAACATCGACATCCGGAATGTTCTCCTCCTTGCTCAACCGTACGATCTGATCATCTTTCTTTGAGCTCCTGCCCAGTTGAACGTGAAGGTGAACGCCGCTCAACATTCAACAACGTAACACAAAGAACACTCAAGTTACCCTTTTGTTTGATCCACTTTTGTATATGTTGTCTTAATTTCACTACGGAAAGGTTCCAGTTTTCCGACAAAAGGAACTTCTGTTTTCCCCTAAGACGAAAGCATACACTTGTCCAAAATGTACTCAGACGATGATGATGATGATGATGATGATGATGCTCAGTGAGCCTGTTTGTTTGTTTGTTTGTTTTGGTGGAAAGTTCCAGAGTGAGAACATTGCGCACAAGGAAGCATCTCTTCTAAAAATAGCCAGTAGGCAACATTGAGAAGAAGAAAAAAAAAAAAGATCTCATCCGAGTGTGTTTGACTTGTAGGAACACCGCCGACTCATTGAGTGACGGGGGTGGGGGAGAGGAGGAGGTGACGCAAGTACCAAACAAAGTGTTTTATTTGGAAAAGGCCCAGTCGCTCTCATAAAGTAGCTCTTTGCTACACACGCTTGTTTGATTTGCTGCCGGACTCGGCAGTGTCAGCATGCCAGGAAAACTGCCGGACACAGAATGAGTGCTTTGCTTTCAAGGAGAGACTGACGCAAATACGGTCGTCTCCTCGCCGTAAACATCCTGACGTGTAGATGCATGAAATGAGAAGTTCATCAAACGACACTACTACTACTACGACTACTACTGCAATCATACTGTACCTCATTTATCATGTGGGGACTAACAAAGAGAGTCCATAAAAACTTTTTTTTTAAATAGTGTGACCTTCTCCCACACGTTAAACTATGAGAGTACAAACTTTTTCCTCTGAGGTTGGGCTAGAGAAAGATTGAAGGAGGCTGCTTTGGCATTTTTCAGCTTTAATTTGAACATTAAAGAAATATATCGGAATTCTTGAAAAACTCTTGATAATAGGTGAGAAGGCAAATGGATAAAAGTGACGGGTGATATCAAACAAGGATTCAATATGATACAGATTGTGTTTTTGGCTTCAACAGCAGTGTTGCTAATGCTAAAACCGTTGCCAAAGCAAGCTAGCAGTTGCCCATGACTGCTAACGTTTACATTTGATGGTTATCAAGAAGCAGCTAACCTTCAACAAGTGAAAGTGGCAAAATACATTTAATATTTAACTGTGATGCTCCTGAGAGAACATTGGAGACTTTCCAAGTAGTGCTTTTTTTTTTTCTTTTCAGGTGTGGAGACAAAGGTTCCACAGTCCAGAAAGAAAGGACAAGGGAAGGTAAGATGAGCTCAGCATAGTGGAAAAGTAACCTGAGAACCTTCCAACTTCTCTTCCCCTTTATTCCTCCTTTCTTTGAGTTTCAACTAAGATTCTCATCTACTGTACCTGCAACTTGTCTCAACACCAATTTTTCTCTCGCTATGTCAATAGACTTGATCATATATACACTGCAAGTGGCTTAAGCTTCGATAGGCTTCAGCTCACCGACAACCAAAATGAGAAGCACCACAGACTGAACATGTTGACATGAACAATGGGAGTAAAAAAACAAAAAAAAACGGCCTTAAGAATCACAAAAATCTAGTTTCCGATTTTCATGCGGTTTGTTCCCTTTCGCTAAGAGAAAAAGATGTTTTTATTCTATTAGCAAAGTTAGCAGCACGCTAGTGGTGGTGGTGAGGGAGGCGGGGGTGCGTGTCGGAATTGCAGCTCCGAGCATGCACCTGCTCGCGCAGCTTCAGTCGAACATAAATTTCCTGTCAGCAGAGTTTGGGAGACGCAGTGCACACCTGCCCAAAGTACTCCCTCAGGGAAAGGCTCACCAGAACAAAACAAAAAAAAAGACAAGTGTCGATGAACGAACTTGTGAAGACGACGCCAAAACAATAAATACAACAACTTTATCTGGAAATCGGTTTTGATCCCATTTGGGAGTGGTTGAAACACAGAACTGGACATAAAATGTTGGTTTCAAAACTCACATACACATACTGTATATTTGTACCAAACTTTATTGTGTACTTGTGTACAATTGTTCTAACTCTTTCGGGTGCTGTACTTTCACAATTCAGGTAAATTAAAGAGATTTCTAGGTTAAAAAAATACATATTTGGACTGGGTGAGTGTTAATGAACAAACTCTTTGACTTGATTTGAATTCTTTGTGTTCATTTTTGGTAGTCAGTGCATTAGGAATGGAGCACAAATGTCAGCAGATCTTGATTTTGGTGCAAGTGCAAGACTCACTGTACATTTTTTTTCCAATTTAGCTGTCCAGCACCTGGCAGAGTAACAATTTGGTGGTAGAAAATTGACCTAAATCCACATCTGTTCCGACCTCATTAAATCCTGGCGCAGATTTTGGTGGATTTGATCGGGGCACAGGCAGACTGATACCAAGCGTGGCAGACAAATCGTTGGTGGTTATTGCCAGATCATTCTGCATACCTGCTCACGTTGTCGTTTTGCCTGACTGCAAATTTTCAGGATCTTTGAAGTGTCAAAGTCTGTAAGCGAGTGAGCGGTTGCCCTGGCAACCTGCATTCCTTCACGTGGGAGGGAACACCGGGCTGAGATGTTGTCGCCTTTTCTGCTTGTCCCTTTTCTCCCAAGTCTTTTCTTGGCATTCCAAGTCAAATGTCTGACTCGGGACAAACACCGCCACTAACCCTCCCCCATACCCACCACCACCCTCACCACCCATGCCCCCCTGGCCCCCACCACCCTTCTCTACCTCCCCCACTGCCGATGTGGCAAACAATTATCATCCCACAGCAACTCTTTTCTTTGTTGCTGCTCAGCCGCGTAGCTGCAAATGTTCAATTTTTTTTTCCAATTTTTCTTTTTTTTTTTTTTTTTTTTTTTTTCAAGTTAAGATAAGATAAGATAAGAAAACCTTTATTAGTCTCGCAATGGAGAAATTCCCAATACACAGCAGCAAAGTTATGAAAGGAAGTAGTTACATGTTGACAGTAAACAAATGAGGATCTACAAGCATGTCACTTTGATGTTTCTTGTGGTGAAGTATAGTTGAGTATTGACGGTTGCTGTCAATTAACAAAACAACCAAAAAAATAAGCCGGGAGTGGAAGAATTTTCAAAGTCTTACCTTTGGGAGCAGAGAAGCAGCGGACAAGTCAAGATGAAGATGATCTTTGAGGGCTTCTGAACGCTTCCCACTGTGGTAGGACGCCACCCCCACCCCTTCCCCGCTCCCACTTTTCCCCTCTTCTTTCCCCGCCTGGTGGGAGAGGCCAAACTGCGACCACAAATTGAGCTGCTCTTGTTGACATTGCAGACCAAAGTGCTGCTAAAAGCACATCAAAATTAACTTGTGTGCCTCCCAACGCCAAGCTGATGTTTATGTCATGCAGCTGAAAAACTTGATGGAATTCCAATTGTACAGTCAGTTTTTGCAGGGCAGAAACACAAACAACAAAGGCCGTAGCCAGAAATTTTTCAGTGGGGTGGCCAGGGTGACAGTACACCTCAGGAATGAAAAAGAGTCATTCTTTATCATACCATCCACAGTCAGGATTTTCATGAAATAAAATTCACAACTCTCCAGAACCATACCCATCACAATCACAATCAAGCAGGAAGAAATCTAAGTTAAAAGGAACATTTTGCTTTTATTAATTTATTTTTTAAATTTATTTTTTTAGGTTTTTTTGGTAAACTCCAAATTCTTGGAAAAACGAGAACAAACTGACAATAAGCATTTTAACAGAAACGGGGGCAGTGGGGTGGGGGGGTGTAACCACCGCCCATACATACACAAAAAAAAAAAATAATTAAAAATTGAAAAAAAAATCTGCGAATAAGCAAATCTGTATTTGGCATACCACAAGTATGCCGGAGTGCTCAAGAGTTGAGTGTGGCTCTTTTGGTGTGTGCATCTTGTCCGCCGGGGGCAGCATTCTCAAAATCGATTCATCTGTAGATCCGTTTGTCAATTGCTTGATGAATCAGTTAAAAATATTTATACATTAATTTTCAGAGGTAAATTAATTAAGATTCATTCACTGATTTGGTTCATAACATGCAGGCTTCACAAATATATTCTTCGCTGGCAGTAATTCAATTCAATCCGGCTCAATTCCGTTCAATGAAATTCAAGTGAACGAGTTCACTGCCATCACACTTGAACTCTCTGGAGGAGGCCATTGACATGTTTGCATTTGTCCATCATGACACAATGCATCTTAATGTCTGACGTCAGACAGAAGCAATCAAGCACGCCAGCTGTCTCATCCCTAATGGCAGGAACAGCTGGATTGGGCGGCGGGGGTAGTGGGTGTATGGGTGCTGAGGGACGCGCAACGTGGCGTTTTCCATCCTGCCTGGAAGCTTCTAGAAAGGCTTAGAAGAGGGAGGGAGGTGAGGCAGGAAGGGAGGGACTCACTCACCCACTTTTTTTCCCCTGCCAGGCTGCTCTTTTTTGTGTGTGTGTGTCCCTCCTTTATTTACCTCCTTACCTCCTCCTACCTTCTTCTTCCTCGTCGGTGTGCCGACGTGGCATTGGGGCAGGTTGGTGTGAGCCCCGGGGGCTGTCACGTGAACGAGCATTGAAAAGTCACGTGGTTGAAAATGGCCAGGTATGGTGATCATCACAGCTGCAAGAGAGGAGAAGGTGTGATTGAATTTTCCCGCATTCTGCACCCACCAACCAGATCTAAAATGTGGGCAAAAGTTGTACTGCTACCTCTCGCTGGAAAACACATTTCACCTTCTTGAAACAGACTTCAAGTCATTCAGATACTTTTTAAATGCTTCCTCAGCGCCTGTTTGCGCTTCTTCACTGTCAAAAAATGGGAGGCGGTCGAGTTGACTAGAATGTATTTTTGAGATTCAAGTCATATTTTTATCGTATTTTTACAAGTGGAGGAATGATGTCTCAGGAGAACTTTTTGTGTTTTTACCGAAGTTTGTTACATCATTACTTCGTTAGTGTATCGTAGTTTCTGTAATATTCATTAGTTTGAAACTGTCATGTAGTTCCGTTTGTCGCATATTTCATTTGTTTCGTCGTTATTTAGCAGAATTAAAATGTTACTGCATAGCCAAGTCGTGCATGAATCGGGTTGTTTGTAATGTGCATTACTGCCACCTACTGGACGGGAGTGCAACATGTTATAATTCCTCAGTCAGTATTTTGATTTTTGTACCTTGGTGGAGGTAATTTATTTTGACTTTTGCTCGTTGGAGTTTAAGTGGGGTGGTGACCCATCACATTCACTAGATGAGGCTGTAAAAAAAAAAAAAAATCATGGGTGTCTGGAATGGGTGACTTCCGGGGCACCATGGCTCAGGTGGTGAGGTGGGTCGTCCCCCAATTGATCGATCCTCAGCCCTTGTGACCCTGTCCGAGTGTCCTGCAGGAAGATGCTGAACCTTCAGTTGCTCCTAATGGCAATCAAGCGCCTTGAATACTTTGAAGGTAGAAACGCATGACAGTCCATTTTTTTCCCATAGGTATATGTAGGTTTAAAGTGATTTCAATGGTGGAGTCAAATATTTTTCATGTTTTATGAACATGTTGGAACGTGCTGTGCACGCACGCACACGCTGACATGATCCCATCTGTGAGAGTGAAAAAGTTTGCGGATGCGAATGAAAGCTTACAGACAAAATCAAACGTGCACCGTCGACATGTTGCGATCAGATTAGCAGCATTTGGAGACTTAAAGAGCGTTACCGTGACGGCGGCATGCTTTCACTTGTCTGCGCATGCATGCGACAAAGACAAACAAGGTCCTCAGAATGTGGTAAAACAAGCTGGAGATCGTCTGTGCAAACTCTGAAGGTCCTCGGAGGACATTTAAAGTTCAGCGCTTCTGACATGTTGACTTCTGCTGTGACCTCTGACCTGTTTTCCTCAACTCCAGCCAAGCGTTCTGTCGCCACCTGCTGTCAGGCTCAGGAAAGAAGCGCAGCGCCAACAGCTTTCCCTTGATGCCCTGGTGATGGTCTTCTGTGGGGGCTAGATGATCTGATGACGTTCTGATGATGTCCTGTTCACCTTCTGCGATGATCTCCTGGGATTTGCTCTTCAGTGGACACTAGTAGGGACTTGTGGACATTTTTTTAGCTCTTCACAGAGTGACAAATGTCAGAAGGAAGACAGAAAAAGTTTCCTGGTAGCTTCTGCTGTTGATCTCCTGTGATGTTCTCCAGTGGAATTTGTTTCTCAGTTAAGAGTGACAAATATGTGAATGAGCAGACGATTTATCAGTAGAAATTCTGATGATCTCCTGTTGATCAATCAATCAATCAAATGTCACGGTTGGAAATAAAGAGAGGGAGGAAGTTGAAGTAGATGCCACATATACAGTTGCTTTTGTTTTACTACCATTCAAAAGTAATTTGGAATCAATGAGAGCATGAGGGAGTGGCGACCTGTTCAGGGTATACCCTGCCCTCGCCCAAAATCAGCTGAGATCGGCTGCAGAACATCCACAAACCTGTCAAGAGGAGAAGCTCTACAGAGAATGGACGAATGAGAGGAAGCTCCTGTGAGGGAGCCTGGGGGTCTTACAAAACTCTATCAGCAGCATACATATGACAGAGACTGTTTTAGAAAGAGAAGCGGTCCTAAAATTGAACCTTGTGGGACCCCCTTTCCAAAAGGTGATTTGGTCAGAGACAATGGTCTCTGACTTTGCTGGTCTTCTGTGATGTGCTCCTTGATGGACACTAGTGGCCAGGAGTCATCTTTTTGTCTCCGGGGAAGTGGGGGAAAATGTCAAAAGGAAGACAAGAAAGATTTTGGTTATCCTAATAATATTTTGCAAATCAAGCTATGTGGAAACTTTCTAAATTGTATTTCAAACATGTATAGATTAGTGAATACAATATTATATTTTTAAGAAGAGTGACAAACAGAAGAAGCGAGACACAAAAGGTTGTTGATAGGGACTATTTATTTATTTGATGTTCAGAGCTTTATTAGCTCTTTTTGTATAAAAGTAAAAATGTCAAAATATGTAAGATAAGTAGCAAAATTATGTACAAATGAAATCTGATGTTTTCGATGTGATGCTTGGTGCTCGTCAATAAACTTTGGACCTGCAGGAAGAAAACATGAAGGAACAGTTTAGTGAGATCACATGAGCCCATGCATATTTTTTTGGGGGGGGGCGGGGGGGGTCTGCGATGGATGAGGGTGCGTGTAGTTCACCTGGCGAAGGCGGACAAGGCCAGGATGCTGAGCAGGAACTGGAGGCTATAGAAGCCTAGCAGCACCAAGCCTAATAGGAACTCCAGACGCAGCACCATACTTTGCAGAAACAGGAAGTAGGCAGACAGCGTGATGCACGGCAGAAGCAGGAACAGAGACACCGCCATGGTCACCGCATGCTCACACAGGTTGCCCTTCCATCCTGACACATACACAACATGGTTGTCACCGATATCAACAGTTTCAATCCACATCAAGAAGTTTGCTGAGAAATGGCCAAAGTGACCTTAAAACGGCCGCTTCAAACCAAGATGCCAGACTTCCTGTGCTGTATCTGGGATGGCTTCTTCACACGTTTTTGTGGGTCTACTCATGATAGGCGTGCCTAGCAAATTTCATGTTGCTACGTCAAATTGGGTTCAGGATTTGAATTTTCATTAAGAATGATTAGTTTTACATTCAAACCAATCGTCATTTCCAGCATGACTTCCTGAGACTTTTTTGTAGGTCTTCTCATCATAGAAATGCCTTCTGAATCTCATGTGGAAAAGTCAAACTGACTTCAGGGGGTGAATTTTCAAAAAGATTTATTTCACATTTTAAAGTAAAGTATCAAACTTTGACCGTTTTAAACCAAGATGGCAGAGTTCCTGAGGTGCTACGGATATGGCTTCTTAAGACATTTTTTGTGGGTGTACTCATGATAGACAAGTCTACCAGATTTAAAGGTGCTCAATCAAACTGGTTCATGGGATGATTCTTCAAAATGTTATTTATTTTGGGTTTTATAGTGCGTTATCATACTTTGACCACTCCAAATTAAGATGGCACACTTCCATTGGTGTTAAAGGCACAGTTTATTGAGACTTTTTTGTGGGTCCTCTCATGATAGATAACTCTACGAAATTTAAGTCAAATTGGCTTCACGGGGCTAATATGTTTTGTTTTGTTTAATTTCAGGTGTTGCTACCGTGTCCCTTTGAATGTCATTAAAAAACGAAACGTCCCAAGTGCAGCGTCACCACCTACCGTAGAAGATACGCAGTATCTCCAGACCGAGGAACAGAACCAGCAGTGCCACGTCCAGAATCAAATTACTCGTCGGATAGGGCAGTAAAAGTCCTGCCGGGAAGAAGCAGAAGATCTTCAGGAAACTTCTCGACGCTCACTGTAGTTGGAAGTTTGTAGTCGGACAACCTTTGTAGATGAACATGAGGATGTTTGCCAGGAAAAAGGCGGCAAAGTACCAGCAGTTGAGGTACAGGAGCACCTGCAGAGGGGTCGATGACAGCTGAGGGTGCACGTCAAGGTCATGCACACAAGGTCAAGCAGACACACAAACAAAATGAAATCACGTGAAGGATACGATTGGTTGGCTGCCTGAAGCACAAACAAATGACATCACAGTCAAAAACACCAATGCAAGTTGAATGCCGTGCACCTCATTAATAATAATAAGAAGACGATTTTAAAGCTCAACCTACTCAGCATGTCTTTACTGCAGTGTTGGGAAGTAAGAGTACAAATACTTTGTTACTCTACTTAGGTCGGATTTTCAGGTATCTATTCATGCTTGAATAGTTGGTTTTCGGCCAACGTTTAACTTTTCCTCTGTATAATTGAACACATAACTGTACTTAAAAATATTATCTTCTGTTAGCATAAAAACTATTTGCTTCTGTCCTTTAAAATTTCTTGACATTCATTTGTTTTAGTTTTCATTGGCTAATTAAGTATTTTGTTAGTAAATTCACATTAGCAAAGCTGTGGAAGCATGTTTTAATAGCATACATCTGAGGGAACAAAAGGAATATAGATTTTTTTTTTTGCAGATTATGTTGAGTTTTTCATCGTACCGGGTTATCAAAGCTTTTTTTCCTTACATGTAATTGACTCATTTTTACATTTTACTTGTAATTAAGTACATCTCGTAGTCTGCACCTCTAAACGTTTATTTTGCGAAGGATTTGAATCCGAACTTGGACTTCTAGCGAATCATCAGTTACCTGCACAAAAAATGACGTAAAGCGGTCTGAATTTGCTTGATAACGGGAAGCATACGGACGGAAACTTTTAACATTTGGTAGCTGGTGTTTTGAAAAGTTTATGATCGACGATCAGTGTTTCGCTTTTTTTCCAAATATTGCAGTTCAGTCTAAAGTACTCTTAGTAGGCAGACGCGGTGCTTTTCAAATGAATCACATTAAAATGTGTTAAAACTCATCACGTGGTAGCACTAAGCATTAATTGACGGCATGTAAGTGTAACGTACAAAATATAAAGATAATCGCCGAATTTCTTGTAAATAACGATAAATGTAGGAGTTATGTTCAGAGACGGAACGGCTTACCGGTCGCCATTTCTAGTTACCGTGGAAACAGCTTTGGGGAAGCGACACTTCTTCGCTTGTCGACGTAACTGAACGGCAGTTGTTTTCCTGCCCCCCGCTGGATAAAAAGAACACTATTAGGTCGTTTTTTTCATTCCGAACTTTTAAAGTCATGTTTTCTTTTTTTTTTTTTATCTGAGCGATAATGTTATTTTTTTATCGGCGTCGGGTAGTTTTTTTAATGTTTCAACTATTAATTTTTAAAGTTAAAAATCTCGAAGGTGCTGATTAGTCAGGACGTAGTTATTGGTTGACGTGGCATTACTGCTTCTGCGCAGCTGCAGTACAGCGCTCTCTTCTGACAGTAAGATGGCGGCTGTCAGGATGTGGTCGGCTGTGTTGTCGTTTTTCCTTCTCAACATTTTTTACGGCCTCGTCACGTCCTTGTACTTCCACATCGGAGAAACGGAGAAGAAATGTTTCGTAGAAGAAATCCCTGATGAGACGATGATCATCGGTGAGCGCCTTGGCGTCGGGGAAGTGGACTTGCTAATGCTAATTGCTAGCTCGCAAACTTTGAGATTCAAATCATCGTTTTCTTCAAGTGTGATTTTGAAACCAATTTTTTTCTGTACAACTTCCTTGAGTTGTAAGACATTTAAATATGCAAATGTTCCCCTTCAAGTTGCATATGACCCTTTGAATCTTAAAATGGCTCGGAACTGTTTGGCACAACATGTATTAAAGGAGATCGTAGTTGCCTGGTGGTGCTTTATTTTGTGTTTTTGACAGTAAAGAGAGGGCATTTTATATTGACACGAATCCACTCTGTTGTGTTTGCAGGTAACTATCGGACTCAGCTGTACGACAAACACAAAGAGGAATTTCTGCCGGCCACTCAGGGTCTGGGCATGTTTGTGGAAGTCAAAGACCCAGATGAAAAGGTTCGTTATTCTACATATAACGAGGGCCCGACAGATGTGATTTGTTTTCAGGCTTATGCTGATATTTGCTTCATGAATTCAAAATGAAAACTGAAGACTCTTTTCTCACATGTCAAAAAAATTAAACTGAAATGCGAGACTGTTTTTTTTCTCATCCGTTTTCAAACATTTCCCGGGAATAAATTATGTGTTTTTTTTCTCTTTGCAGATGATCCTGTCTCGACAGTACGGCTCCGAGGGAAGGTTCACCTTCACGTCTCACACCCCCGGAGAACATCAGATCTGCCTGCACTCCAACTCGTCAAAGTTCTCCCTCTTCGCCGGAGGCATGCTGGTGAATATGCGCCGCACAACGTGACCGCACTTGTGCCACCATTTTCCTTGACCAGCGCTTGCCGCTTGCTTGCAGAGGGTCCACCTGGACATCCAGGTGGGCGAGCACGCCAACAACTACGCCGAGATCGCCGCTAAAGACAAGCTGTCGGAACTGCAAGTGCGAGTAAGGCAGCTGGTGGAGCAGGTGGACCAGATCCAGAAGGAGCAGAACTACCAGAGGGTCAGTGGGGGACGAGAAATCATGTTTATGAATATTGCAGTGTTTCCACATTTTATTGATCTATGGCACATAATAAATGCCTCCCCAAATGACCACACTGATGCCAGCTATTACAGATAATACCCCTTTAATGTAGACCAAAGACATAAAGTAATAGTGAGGAATATGCAAGGATGAAAAAGTAAAAGGCCATTTTGGATCATTCCTGAGGTAATTTCTGATGGGGAATGATGTTCACGTGCGCCCCCTACTGTCCGCGTGTCTCCTGCAGTACCGGGAGGAGCGCTTCCGCCAGACCAGCGAAAGCACCAACCAGCGTGTCCTGTGGTGGTCCATCGTGCAAACCCTCATCTTGGTGGCCATCGGCATCTGGCAGATGAGACACCTCAAGAGCTTCTTTGAAGCCAAGAAGCTGGTCTAAACACTCGCTCGCGCATGCATGTGTGCGCATGTGTTCCAAGTCTATGAAGAGATGCAGTATGGAGCGGAAATGCGATGGACAAAAGTTACTTGAGACCATTACTAATATTTATGATTTCCGTTTGGATGGAAATATTTGGATCATCCAGTGAAATGTGAAGCAGACCCATGGCGTTGTGTGTTGATGGATGATTATTTCAAAAGTCTCCACAGACGGCTGGATGACATGTCCGTTGCATTCATCATGACGAGTCGTGTGTGTGTGTGTGTGTGTGTGTGTGTGTGTGTGTGTGTGTGTGCACGCGTGTGTGTGTGTATGTGTGTGTGTGTGAGAGAGAGAGAGACACGCCGTCATGTGTTTACCGCACATGAACTTGTCAATTTCAGTTTAGTGGTTTGAATCACCCCCGAAAATAAGATTTGTTTATAAAGTTTTGACAGCTGAAAAGTGAAAACGAACGAGTTACTGCATCCAGTGTTAATGTTCACTTTTTGCAGATTTTAATGTGCTCAACATTTAATCTATGCAGGAGGTTGAATTCATCAGTAGTGTGACACTGTCGTTTTGTTTTTTTCCTGGATGTTTGAGTCAACATTTGATTTTAGAAAATACTGAAGAGCATTTTCGTTGTCTTGAAAAAAAAAAAAGGGCTGGACATTTTTTCAATACAACACCAAGATTTAGCTCAATTTGCTCTTTAACAGAAAGCAAATTTTTAATGCTTTTCTTTTCATTGCAATTTGATACTAAATGTAATGATATAAAAGATGTTGAAATAAAAGTATTTCACCCATTAGGTTTTCTGTTCTTATTCCAGAAATATAACGTGACTTCCATAGGTGGAAATGTACAATTATTCTGCTAAAACAAAGCTGCCTTGTCTATTTGAATGTTAGTCATTGTATGGTATTTGGAGAACTAAGTATTTAATTCCTACTTGGCGTCAAGTGTTCGAGCCACCGTTGTAACCAATTTTTGTTTGTGATAATCTTGTTCCGTTACGTTTTCAGAAAGGGTAGGAACCATTGTGTGCATTGTTTCCGCTCGAGCAGTAAGTTAAGTTGAACCCAATCACGTTCGTCTCCAAATTGATTTTTTTCTCCCTTCTTTCGGCGAAAAAAAATGGAGAATACATTTTGACGAGCTATTTAAGCTGGCGTCGAGTCCATTTTAAACGGGCTCGTCACATGTCAGGACCCCGTCTACCAATTCTCGCTCGGAACAGGTTAGCTTAGCTGAGCGCAGGTGAGCTATATGCTATTGCTACATGCTACGTGTCCAGACATTGGTAGAAATGCCGACGCCGCCGACATGAGCGACTCTCGGCCGGAGGAAAAATGCTGATCGCTGGACGAGTTAAAATGAAGTCCGATTAAACGAGAGCGATCGTCAGCATGGCCGATATTCAGGACTCACGCAGGAGTTTGAATTGTGTTTTAAAAAAGTGAACGATTGAAAAAGCACGATGATGTTCTCATCGAGGAGGAAACCTGTGCTCTACTTTAAGGAACAGAGAAGGTAATTTTGATGTCAAAACAACTTCATAATAACCAGCACTCATATTTTGTGTTGTGACTATTTTGACATTATTCTAAATTCTGAAACTGCATTGTTTGAAGAAATGTCTCTTCAAAAGTTGTCGACCAAGAAGACAAGGAGTAAGTCAAATATTGAGTGGGATTGAATGCAAATGTGCTGCACACAACAGTAACCGAACAGAATTTAAAAATGTAATCTCGTAGAAGGTTAAAAGTACTGTACAAGATGAAAAAAAAGTTTGATCAAGCTCCAAAATCGGATTATTTAATTCAGTGATTCTTTTGCATATCACTTGAGAGACCTGCTTTACAAAACAATACAAAATGAGATCTAACATTACAAGTGTGTATTTGCACACTGTGCGCCTGTCAATTAATTTGACTTTGATGGCTTGCTGCATGACACGCATTCTTTGTTTCAATGTTTTCAAAGATGATGATGACAGATGATAGGGGAGAAAGAGAGAGAGGTTTGTCCTTCACAGAAGAAAGTTAATTTTATTTGCTTGAACATTGAATATACGCTTATAGGACACTTCATTCGGTACACCATCAAAAGACAGACAATAATGTGAGTGAAGTTCACTAAAAGCATGTTGCATTCAACTGTGTGACTTCTGTTGCGTGTTAGTCGTCAGGTAACTTCTCAGATGTTAGCTTTTTTGTTTAGTAGTGAAATCTAGTGCACTTTGTAATCATTTAAAGCAGTGCTTCTCAAACAAGTTCCAAAAAATACTAAGAGCATACATACAGGGTGTTTCATAGTCTGTGTTACTTTATAAAATCTCCCAATTTTCAAAGCGTTTGGCATGAAACGGAATACCGTTTCGATGTATGCCATGTAACCACGGGCTAGTACATTGAACATTTGGGATTTGTGTAAAATGTAATAAAATCTAAGGTCTTGGATTTTTGTGTTCATTTTTTTTCTCCCAAAAATGTAAGATAAAAAGATTTAAAAAAATATAAGTTGAGTCTTCCTATCTTCATCAGTCATTGAGCTAAGGTAACTTAGAGTGACACAGACTTGCTCTCTCTGCCTCTCTCTCTCTCTTTGCTGAAGTAGTAATGCTGCTTTTTTGTTCAGGTTAACATGGGACCATTGTTCGGTGTACAAGCTGTTCGGCGTTTGTTTGCTGCTGCTGCTTGCGTCCCTGCTGTGGCTGCAGCTCAGCTGTTCGTCAGACATGGCCGCTGCCGCCTCCTCGCAGCGGGACGGACGCCTCCCGCAGCAACCGCCCCCAGCGTGCCGATCCGAGAGCAGCCCGCGAGATGAGGAGTCGTGGGGTCCGCACAAGTTGGCGCTGCTGGTGCCCTTCAGGGAGCGCTTTGAGGAGCTGCTGGTTTTTGTGCCTTTCATGCACTCCTTCCTCAACAAGAAGAAGATCGCGCACCAGATTCTCATCATCAACCAGGTGGACCATTACAGGTGAGACATAGCAATGGGAGAAACTGTGCCGGGGCTTCCAACATTGTGTGGAAAAATCCAGGAAGTCATTTTTGGAGCACGGACAGAAGCGTGATGTATTCGAGGCGACTGATGCCACTGATGCAGTACGAAGAAGTGGTTCGCATGCTGGCATCAAAGTCAATCGATGACACCAAAGTCAATCGATAGATTCTTTTGGGGAAAGCTTGAAATATTCAAAAGGTTTCATGTCGCCCAAGTTAGCATCTATTCTCACTTTCTGCCTCGCACCGGTCTCCAAATAAGAGGTCCAGTGTGCTTGCCTCAAGCTTTTTTTTTTTTTTTTCACCCAGGTGAAAACACCAAGAAAACAAAGGACACATTGTTGATTTAAACAACAAAAATCTTCAACCAAACTGTATAATATCGAATGAAAGTATGATAGCTTGATGCTAACATGTAATGGGGAATCCCTTGAGCATAAATGTTGCAGTTAGTCTAAACCTTCAAATTGCACAGAGCAGCAACTCCGACAAACAGCGCTTGCAACGGTCGTAATGTCTCTACTCTGCGGGAATGTCGACGACACAGCTTAGTAGGGGGCCATCTCGGCCTCAGCAACTCTTCCAATCAAGCAAGCACTGCCTGACCTGTTGTGGCCCAACGCGTTACTACACTGCAGGGCCTCGCTTGTGTGCTCAACGCAAAAGCACGCTCGCATGAACACGCTCGCTGACTGCGGCAATTTGTGCTGGCCGGCAGGTTCAACCGGGCGTCGCTGATCAACGTGGGCTACCTGGAAAGCGCCAACGACACGGACTACCTGGCCATGCACGACGTGGACCTGCTGCCCCTTAACGACGCGCTGGACTACGGCTTCCCAGCCGACGGGCCCTTCCACGTGGCCTCGCCGGACCTGCACCCCCTCTACCATTACAAGACCTACGTGGGCGGCATCCTGCTGCTCACCAAGAAGCACTACCACATGGTAACCGGCCGCCTTTTGCATGTCAGCACGTTCCACATGATCACATCATCACGTTTTGCCATGATCAATTTCACATGATCGCATGACAAATTACATTTTGACCAGAAATTTCACGTTTTAGTTGTGATCAATTTGAATTGTGCATGTGTGTGTTTGCGCGCACAGTGTAACGGGATGTCCAATCGTTTCTGGGGGTGGGGCCGCGAGGACGACGAGTTTTACAGACGGCTGCGAAAGGCGGGCTTGCAGGTAAGCGGCGCGTCTCTTCAGAATTAAAGGTCGAGGTTTCTCCACGTCCCAAGTTGTGGCGCCAATTTGCAGCTGTTCCGGCCGAGCGGCATCACCACGGGATACAAGACCTTCCTGCACGTGCACGACCCGGCGTGGCGCAAGCGGGACCAGAAGCGTGTGGCAGCCCAGAAGCAGGTTCGCCGAGACACGCTCATGGGAGAAAAAAAATGCTCACGGCACTTTGGCTTACTTTTAGCATTCAAATAAAACAGTTGTTGAAGCCCTTCTCTCCTAAATTTGGGTAGTTGAGGTGAACTCTTTTGAGGTGATTTTTTTTTTTTTTTTTCATTGATCTCATGAAATAATACGTTAATTCATCCATTGTATAGTATGGAATAAAAAGTTAAATGTATAATTTTAGAACATTTTTAAAACTTGCTAATTGGGTCAATTCTATGTCAACGGCAAATTTTAGTCAAATGTTAATCAGTTCTTTTTCTGCAATCCGACGACTGATGAGAAATCTATTTCAAACTGTGTTATGGCCGTCTGCTGTCATGACTGGAGCCTCAGCAATATCCCACCCAATGTCTTTTGAAAAGTGTTTTTTTTTTTTATTAACATTTTAAAATGTTCTTCATCAATTGGTGAATTATAAGCAATAGCACAACAAGTGTGAATTATTTAATCATTAAAAGGAACTAATTTGGTGTTAATAAAATTCTTTTCCCCGCTGAAAGTGGTCACTTTAACTGTATGAAAGCAAGTGCACTTGTAAGCCAAATTGAAACTTTTCTTCAACGTCTTCGAAATAGGGAATCCATGTGCGTCCTTTCACAGTAAAATATTTTGGTTATATTTTTGGGCAGGAGCAGTTCAAAGTGGATCCTGAAGGGGGCCTCAGCAACCTGCGCTTCCATGTGGAGTCCCGCCAGGAGCTTACTGTAGGGGGCGCCCCCTGCACCGTTATCAACACAAGGCTGGATTGTGACCAAGACCAGACGCCCTGGTGCCTCTTGTAGGACATGCACGCAAACACGCACGCAGGCTGCCACACAAGCATTTTATTTTGGAAAGCTCCTGAATAGGAACCAGTTGAGGCACAATTAGGCAGTGTTGGGAATGCCTCCCTCCAGTGCCATGAAATCAGAGAGGTGGCCATTTTGTGGTCTGGTTGGAATGGAGGCTATCCCTGAAATCAGGTTTACCAACCTTTTATTTTTTTAACTATAAAAGGAGCGTTCCCCCTAAATGTGTGTCTGTGTAAATTACAATTCAAGGACACTAAACTCCTGCTCAGCAAAACAACATGAAGTGCAAAAACTCATTTTGTGCAATTACTTTTTACTGAAATCAGTACCATGTCATTCCAAATGTACAAAACAATTATGAGGGCCACTCACCTTGAACTACTGTAAAGGGCAGTATAAACCCGTATATGGGTGGGTGGGTGTGTGTGTGTGTATGTATTTTATATATATATATATAATGGGGGGGGCAGTCAGAGTGTGAGCCCCTTGTCCTCTGTTGTTGTGCGACATAAAAACTCTCGTACAATTCGCTCATTCCCGATTTCCGAATCACGAATAAGACATTTTTGGTGGATATTTGAGGAAATATCCAGGTATTTAAATTACAATTCAAGGACACTAAACTTCTGCTCAGCAACACAGCATGAAGTGCAAAAACTCATTTTGTGCAATTACTTTTTACTGAAATCAGTACCATGTCATTCCAAATGTACAAAACAATTATGAGGGCCACTCACCTTGAACTACTGTAAAGGGCAGTATAAACCCGTATATGGGTGGGTGGGTGTGTGTGTGTGTATGTATTTTATATATATATATATAATGGGGGGGGCAGTCAGAGTGTGAGCCCCTTGTCCTCTGTTGTTGTGCGACATAAAAACTCTCGTACAATTCGCTCATTCCCGATTTCCGAATCACGAATAAGACATTTTTGGTGGATATTTGAGGAAATATCCAGGTATGCTCAATACAAATAAAGTATACTTTCGGTATGGTGATAAGTGAGTACAGAAAGAGTCAGTGATTCCCAACATCGTCTTGAATAGATTGTTAGGCACTGAAATCAGTACCATGTCATTCCTAATGTACAAAACAAGGGCCACTCACCTTGAAATACTGTGTAGGGCAGTATAAACCCGTATATGCAGGGGCACGGGGGTTTATTTTAATATTTTCTTTTCATATGTTACATTATCATTATTGGCAACTAATTTGAAAATGAATGGAAAGTTTCGTATTAAAAGTCAAATTGGAAAAAAAAAATAGAAAAGGAATTACCAGTACATTGAATGTTTTATTGTATTCATCGATCCACCGATCCATTTTCAACACCACTTATCCTCTACATCAGGGGTCCCCAACCTTTTTTGGCCCACGGACCGGTTTAAGTCAGACAATATTTTCAGGGACCGGCATTTAAGGTGTGGCGGATTAATACAACAAAATAATATGGTATAAGCTGCATGAAAACTGTGGTGTTTTCGAAATATAATAATAAACACAAGGAGCGTCTAATCTGGTCGCAACGCTCTTATATATACTTGGGGCAGTCAGAGTGTGAGCCCCTTGTCCTCTCTGTTGTTGTGCGACATAAAAACTCTCGTACAATTCGCTCATTCCTAATTTCCTAATCAATTATAAGGCATTTTTGGTGGATATTTGAGGAAATATCCAGGTATGCTCAATACAAATAAAGTATACGGTCGGTATGGTGATAAGTGAGTACAGAAAGAGTGATTCCCAACATCGTCTTGAATAGATTGTTAGGAGAGCAAACAGCAGGTGGCGCCGCCAACTGGACAAGATTCTCGAGTCTCTGCTGCTTCGACTCTTTAGCAGGGGCACGGGGGTTTATTTTAATATTTTCTTTTCATATGTCACATTATCATTATTGGCAACTAATTTGAAAATGAATGGAAAGTTTAGTATTAAAAGTCAAATTGGAAAAAAAATGGAAAAGGAATTACCGGTACATTGAATGTTTTATTGTATTCATCGATCCATCCATCCATTTTGAACACCACTTATCCTGTACAGAGTCGCTGGGAGTTACTGGAGCCTATCCCAGCTGACTGGGTGGAAGGCAGACTGCACCCAGAACCGGTCGCCAATCAGTCGCAGGGCACACATTAGAGACGAACGACCATTCACACACACATGGACAACATCAAACAACAATGCCGATGTAGTTTAGAAAAGTCAAAAGTGGCCCCTGAGCCCAAAAGTTTGCTCACCCCTCAACTGAGCTAGCATTGCTAACACGTAGCCTAGCTAGCGAGCAGCAGCAGAATGTTCTGCTTCCAAAAGTTTTTTTTTTTTAATTACGTCTTGATCTAAAGTCATGTCAAGTGGAAGAGATGCAACACAATTATTTAAATGTGTTATTTTTCCTATTTAATGTTTTTTTTTAACTAGTTTTGCTTGAGGAGCGCCACAAATGGACACCATGTTACTTGTAAGATGATGACATCACTGAACAAGAATAATGCTGATCATGATAGTCAACCTCAGACTGCTGTCATCCATTTTGTTGGCAATAAACGGTACGTTTTTATTTTTATTTTTTCCCTTTTGTGTTTCTTCCACATTGTCTCCTGTATCAAACTTACAAATATTAATAAATTTGGGACCTCTGGTTGTCCTGATACACTCAAGAAAAAAGTCTTCTCAAACAGTGAAATGTTAAACCCGGATTTCATATTTTTGTTATCGTAACCCCAAAGGAACCAAAAAGTAATTTTATTCATTATGTTTTTTTTTTGTAATGAATCGTCCAATTCATCGGTTATCGGAAATTTCTTCTGCCAAATATCCAGATCAGTTGGACCTTTATAGGGTTTGTGATGAGATCGAAGGAAGATGTGCATTGTTTTCTTTTAGCATCAAAGCTTTATGAGTGCATGAGTCTGAAGCTCAAAAAATTTGGGGGGAGAAAAAAAACGAAAAATACAAACAAAAGACAACTTTTTCAGCACCCATTTTTCACATTTCACAATTTGATCAAACCATTCCAACTCCAGCTCCTCCATGATAGATTACAAATTATCTTTCACATTCATCAATTTCACTCAAAAATTCCAAACTCTCCCATTTCAAAGAAAAAAAGACGAACATAGCTTCGTAGAAATCGGCCATTGACCTCAACTGTAAGAAATCGCGTCGTTTGGTTTTGCCCAATGCGGAAGTCAAGTTATACCGCGTTTGCTTCTAAGTTGACTAGTCAAATTTAAGGTTGACTAGTAGTCTCTTACAGAAGGGAAGGAACCAAAAAGTAATTTTATTCATTATGGGTTTTTTTTGTTTCTAATGAATCAGCCAATTCATCGGTTATCGGAAAATTCTTCTGCCAAATATCCATATCAGTTGGACCTTTATAGGGTTTGTGATGAGATGGAAGGAAGATGTGCGTTGTTTTCTTTTAGCATCAAAGCTTTATGAGTCCATGAGTTTGAGTGTCGTGTCCTTTCTGAAGCTCAAAAAATTTGGGGGAGAAAAAAACAAAAAATACAAACAAAAGACAAATTTTTCAGCACCCATTTTTCACATTTCACAACTTGATCAAACCATTCCAACGCCATCTCCTCCATTATAGATGACAAATTATCTTTCACATTCATCAATTTCACTCAAAAATTCCTCACTCTCCATTTCAAAGAAAAAAAGACAAACATAGCGTCGTAGAAATCGGCCATTGACCTCAACTGTAAGAAATCGCGTCGTTTGGTTTTGCCCAATGTGGAAGTCAAGTTATACCGCGTTTGCTTCTAAGTTGACTAGTCAAATTTAAGGTTGACTAGTAGTCTCTTACAGAAGGCAGGTGCTCCTCAAAGTTGACTCGTAATGTCCGACAGTGGCCTGAGACTCTTAACTAGTGGCTAATAGTGGCTCAGTCCTCTTTAAGTCCACGAGTCTTGTCTGATGGTAACCCACTTCTCTTCTAAGTCAACGAGTAATGACCAAGATTGGCTGAGTGTTCCTCGAAGTCGACTAGTTATGTCTGCTGTGAGTTATGGGCTTGTGACATTCTTGTCATAGTTGGAGTGCAGGTGATAACTTGTGTGTGTGTGTGTGTGTGTGTGTGTCTGTGTGTGTGTGTGTGTGTGTGTGCGCGTGCATGCGTGCGTGGGTGTTGTTTATCAAATAGCGAGCCTCCCGGTCCCGCCGCCACAATGTGACCCGCCCCCCGACGTCTGGTAATTTCTAGTGAATCTTTCTGGAAGCGGAGTGCCGATTGACACTTTGGTCCTCGGGGCTGAAAGGTTTGCTTTTTACGAGAATTCATCACAATTACACACTTGGGCTGAGAGGAGCCCCGCGGCCATCTTAGTCACACAAGGCTCGTTCGCAAACGCACAAGCCTGCACCGACAAAACATTGATCTCTTCGGCAATTGCAAATTTCCCCAGTGTGGGACAAATAAAGATTTTCTTATCTTATTTGGTGTCATCTAAGGACTGCAACTTAGTTAAGTGGAATCTAGATTTAGGCAGATGTGAAAGTCCCCCACGCTTCAAGTCTCTTGAGACATTCACACTAAATGCAATTCATATTGACTGACTGTCACAGATGACGGCATCCCACTGTAATACACTTTTTTGCGCAACACTTAAGACATGAACAGCTTGACTCTGAGTTGCACAATTTGTGTCGCCCTTCAACTTTGTGGATCGTAAGTGCATAAATGTTATCAATTTCTCATAAAAGCCATTACATCCTCGTCTTGATATAATTGAAATAACGACACGCAATCGTTCCGACACATTCGCAAATTCTCACACAGCGTGGCAATCACACCCATCTGTTTTGATGTCTGGAATGGGTGAACCCAAAATGGCTGCCTGATCCCAGCACTTTAGCAAGGATAGCACAAAAACATTGTGCAAACTGTGTACAGATCACTTTCATCCAAATCACAAAATAAAGTGATCTGACAATGTCCATCAAGAATCCTGCCCAAAGAGTAACTGAATTATTATTATTTATTTATTTATTATTATTATTATTAGCCTACAGCCATCGGTGTCTGTAGCCGTAATAAGCAGGATTGTAGAGGATTTCAGCTCGACTGGTGAGCACGTCTGCCTCGCAGTGCAGAGGTGCAGGGTTCGATTCTGGCTCTGACCTTCCTGTGTAGAATTTGCACGTTCTCCCCGTGCCTGCGTGGGTTTTCTGCGGGTACTCCCACATTCCAGAAACATGCATGGCAGGCAAATGGAACACTCTAAATTGTCCTTTGGTGTGAGTGTGAGCGCGAGTGGTTGTTTGTGCATGCCCTGCGATTGGCTGGCAACCAGTT